CCCACACCCCCACACCCACACACCCACCCCCACACCCACACCCACACACCCACACACCCACACACCCACACACCCACACACCCACACACCCACCCCCACACCCCCACACCCCCACACCCCCACACCCCCACACCCCCACATCCCCAAACTACACCCCCACACACACCCACACACCCACACACCCACACCCCCACACACCCACACACCCACCCACCCACCCACCCACCCACACGCGCGCGCACACAGCCGACCCGATCTTTTGTCGCCTCATGTTTTTTACACTACTACTCTGCGAACCTACCTGATTGTGGCTTTAGTGTGCAAAGGTTGGGTTGTCTTTCGCTTGTGGTTTTTGTCTTTGTGCAGGAGCCCCGACTGCAACACCGGCCAACAAAACGGCGGTTACGCCCGCGCCGCAGCAGCAGCAGCAACCACAGCAACAGCAGGTGCCACTGCTCCGGGTGTCTTGTTAAGGGCTTTGGTGAGGGAAACCTAGTCTCATAGCGTCCTAAACATTCGGGAGTTGTGAAGTTTCCTGGGCGGCTGTTGATGTAAACCTCCCTTTGAAGCAGGTAGTCCAGAGCCAAACTCTGAGAATTTCAAAGCTAAGCCAACGCATGGCAAGAAAGACTTCACATGACCATTGCAATGAAGATCCGATGACTGATGTATGCCGGAGGCACAGCAGAAGAACACACCAATCATGGTGACTCCGTGCCCTGCGCGGCGGATATTGGCTTGTTCCGTCTCCCACTTGCCATCATGCCTGCAAGCGATTTCCAGGTTTCCGACAGTGAAGTACGTAATCTTGTTTGAAGCAGGGGTCTCTTGTTTTTCTGAGCCTTTCAATTGGCGTTTGAGGTTTCCGTTGTTGAGGGATCCATAGAAACTTCCGGCTACTGATCCCTTTCCGGTTGCTTTCAACAGAAGGATTTTCGTGGAAGCACCACGGTGGAACGTGCAGGCCGTCAGGTCCGAAGGCAAGCGGTTGGCACAGCGTGCTGAATTCTGGACCACCTGGTCTCAGGTGAAACCAAAGGATCTAGTGATGCCCAAGCATCTAGTGATGTCCAAGGCCCAGGTTGGATGAAGGACGTATTCCAAAGCCAGGGGGGCACAGCCTCAGCGCAAAAGCAAAAGCTCCCTGCAAACGGAGTCGAGTCGTCGAGGTTCAGGTTGCTCGGGTGCCTAGGAAAACGTGTTTGTTGGCTGAAAATCCGGAGTCCTAGGCCCCTAGGCATTGAGGTACCTGTACGTGAAAACAACGGCTGATGTCAAAGGAAAGGAACGTCCTTCGTTTTGGGTGCGACCGGGTGTTTCGTGTCGCGGGTCTGACGATCTGGTACGTGCTTTGGAAACCTACAGGGGCCGTGGTCGCAACCGATGCCTTTATGTAATACGACTTTCTCGAGAAGTGACCGTACCTTAGGGCGACCCTGCATTGTTACAATCTAAAGCCCGGATAAACAAAAAGCTGAAGCTGACTACACTGTTTCAAGCATCGCTAGAATGTGGCTGCCTGAACAATTGACGAGGTACAGGCACAACTGGTTAATCAGTGGTAGCCACCGTGGCAACCAAGAGGTCTGCCCTGCATGTCTTGGCTCACAGTTCCGAGCCCTTTGCCGGCAAAGCACGAAGCTGTAACTCCCCAGCCGCAGACATGGTCACAAGAGTGGACAGATGTAAGCTTGCAGACTTCGGTTCTCGACCGTGCAGGGAGTGGTCTTTTCGGTTTCTGAAACACGAGGTAAAAAAGTATCGGGATTTGTATTCAATGCTTCGGGATCGCCGTGGACGTGAGCACGTGTCGGCGGAGCTTGATGATCTCTTGGTAGCCACTCTTGCGCACAATACCTGGAAGTCGACAACATACCTGTCGCAGAAGAAGAGGTTGCGATCGAATAGCAGGTGAGCGCATGTCCCGTTTTGAAGTTGTTAGGTGCAGCTGTCTAGGTCATAGTGCCGCCGACATGCTGTTCAAGACCTGGCATGGCAGCCGAGGTCCTTAGCATAGAGCAGGAGTTCACCAGCTCGACGCTTGAGATGTACAACCGGGCTTTGCGCAGGAAACCATACTGTGCGCATAGCGAGCTGCCAAACGAGTCACGACATCCTAACCTCTCGGATTGTGAAGTATCACTGCTCTGCGGAGCATGTTCGGCATTCATAGCTGACAGGCTTTTTCGTCGATGGGAATATGAAACGAAGATGGAGCAAGCGGACATGGTGCCGTGTTTGCACGTCGCAGTCCTGTCTGCTGCTGCGAGCTGCAGCTTCATGCGAAGAAGGTGTGGCAGCGACTCTTGCATAGTATCATGTTAACATCATGCGGCGATTTTGACCGTGTTAGGTGCGAGTACATACATGTCACTTCAGACAACGGTGGCGAGCTGCTTGTTAAGTTGTATGCTATTCCACACGACGTCGCATTGTGAAGCAACCTGTTGGCATTGAGGAGGCGCACCAGATTTTGGTTCGTGCTCGGGAACATGGGATTTCGGCGTGCTCACGAACAACTGTGAACACTTTGTAAACGAGTGTTGGAATCCCGGAGAGTCTCCACACAGCCATCAGGCTAGCGCAGCTGCAGCGCAGAGTGGTGCTGCAGCCGGGGTTGCTGGGTATTATGGGTATGGTGCTTTGGGCACATGGCCAGCTCTTCAAGCGACGTCAACGAACTGTGCCTTCGGTATGGTTCCGACTTTTGCAGTTCTACCGACGAACATCTTGGTCGCAGTAAGTGCCACAAGCATTCTGGGTGGTGTAGGTCTTGTTGGTGGCCTTGCCTATGGTGTTAGGGAGTCGCCCTTGACCGACAAGACCAAACTCATCCCCACAGCCCATGGTTTCTTGTAACAGATCATGCCAGGCTAACAAGGGCGAACTTACGCAAAGATAGGTCTGAAGCATGATATGTAGTGTAGGCTTTCACGCTGTGTGGCACGAATACACTGGTGGCGGAGTCATGTCCTGCAACATCGATAGTGGCTGACAGAGGAAGTTAACCCACCCATCGCGACCGAAAGCCAGCACAGTTCGTGCTGACGGTGGAGCATGGTATTCAAGAGTCTTTCGAACGCAGGGTATGCGGGGCGACATTGTTTCTTTTGATGGAGACGAGCCGACGAGGTAGAAACTTTGCATTTGCGTGTGGCTCCAACACACTGGTGATGCCCTATCAATATCGGCAGTTGTCCAAAACATGCATTGGCGCGTGGATGAAGGAGAAAAGCAGCGAAGGAGTCACAGCGCGGTGCCCACTGTGCCTGAAGACATATGAGTGGTCGATATGGCCAACTTGTAGCAGAGGGTCGAGAGACTTCCTGTATGGAGTCAGACAGAGACTTCTGACTGATTTGGAATCTTTTGTCGCTCGCGCATGAAAGTACTGAACAAAAAGCTTGAAAAGGATGTGGAGGGAAGCTTCTCGATTATTTTGCCCAGTTCAGGAACCATGACGTAGATCCAAGGTGTAGGTGGGAAGTGTTGCTCGGAGACGGGCTCCATGGCACTTTGGGACCGGGAACTTGTAGGTCGCAAGATGTCGCAAGCTTGCAGAGTTTTGATATGTTCAACGGTTCTGGATCTTTGGATCTCGGGCTGTGCTTTGACAATAACCTTGTGACACCCGGTACCCTGCAAGTGCTTGGATTCCAGGAAATGTTTATTTCGTGAGTTTGAGTGTGAGGTTGAGTGTGAGCGAAAGTGTGAGCGAAAGTGTGAGCATGGATTTCCAGCCCATCGGGAAGTGTGAGGTTGAGTGTGAGCGAAAGTGTGACTGACCATGAATGGGCCACTCACACTCCGGATCCCGCTCACACTCCCTTTCACACTGCCGCTCACACATTCTTCCTGTAAAACACAGCAAAAAGTGTGAGCGGGAGTGTGAGCGGAAGCGTGAGCATGAATGAGCCACTCACACCCCGGATCCCGCTCACACTCCCTCTCACACTCCCGCTCACACTTCCGCTCACACTTCCGCTCACACTCCCGCTCACACTCCGGCTCACACATTCTTGCTGTAAAACACAGCAGAAAGTGTGAGCGGGAGTGTGAGCGGAAGTGTGAGCATGAATGGGCGACTCACACGCCCGCCCACACCCCCGCTCACACTTCCGCTCACACTTCCGCTCACACTCCCGCTCACACTCCCGCTCACACTCCCGCTCACACTTTTTGCTGTATTTTACAGCAAAAAGTGTGAGCGGAAGTGTGAGCGGGAGTGTGAGCGGGAGTGTGAGCGGAAGTGTGAGCGGAAGTGTGAGCGGGAGTGTGAGCGGAAGTGTGAGCATGAATGGGCCTCTCACACTCCCACTCACACTCCCTCTCACACTCCCGCTCACACTTCCGCTCGCACTCAGAATCCCCGCTCACACTCAGCCTCACACTTCCGCTCACACTCTCGCTCACACTTCCGCTCGCACTCAGAATCCCCGCTCACACTCAGCCTCACACTTCCGCTCACACTCTCGCTCACACAAAACCTCACACAAATAATGTTTTCAGACCATCCCAAGGGTTGCAGGGACTGGGTCTCATAACAATAACCTTTGGGTCTGGAGTTTGCAACTTCACGAAGCCAGGGCGCATGGTACGATGCCATCAAGGGGGACATCGTGAAGGCTCCCAGAGCAGATTTAGCGTGGGCTAGAGGATGTGTTTTTTTTCGGGCTTGGCCGCCTGGCCGCTTGGCCGATGTACAATTTGTGTCAACTCATCTGCGGAATCTGCGGAGGCTTCGACAAGCATGCCAATCCGCAACCGAACATCGCCTCCGAACGCCAGCAGCCAGCACAGCATTCAAGACTAGCCGAAGCTTGGGTTTGAAGATGCAGGCATCAAGGCTGAAGCACAAAACTGCACACAAATCCAAAAGATCCGTTGTGTGCGCAGACGTTCGGCGTCGTGTCCCGTTTTGTCGGCGGCTGCCGCGCATGCGCGCCTGTGTCTGGCGCCTGGAGATTGCGAGGTATCAGACATGAGATGTTGTTAAGAGTTTCCATGATCTTCCAAGTCGGGTGAAGGAGAGTCGGGTGTTTCTTCGACGAGTGGATGTCATAGTAAGAGTATAAGCAGATGATTACATGCATATGTACATATAGAGAGTGTAAGACATTACGGGCCCCATATTTTCCAGTCAAAATGCTGTTTTCTATGAATTTTCATTACAAAAACTTACAATCGTCATAGTTTGCATACTAGTGGTTTTCAAGTTTACTTAACCCTGTTGCTCTTGATGCCTGATATGGGAAGTCCTTTCCTAATCAGCATGGGATGCACTTGTGACTACCTTTCATTGTGGGTTCTCATGAAGACTATCCGATAAAGCAATGCCACTTCAATCTTGTGATTGTTCTTTGTGTCTCATAGTATAATCCTGCAGACAAATGAGATACAATGCGTCTGCGAAACCGTGCATTTCTCCACCCTTGAATGATGTACAAGACCGGTCAATCTATATAACTTTTGCATATCAGCGTAAAGAATCGCTTACATATCCCACCGTTTTTTGCAGGCCCCATCATGTGCATGGTAGCATATGATTTTGGATATAGACGTCCAGCATATATTGTAGCATGACAAGTTGGGTTTGGCATCATACAGGCAGGTTGCTCAAACAGTTCCCACCGTCCCAAGGTATATGCATGCAGGCGAACAACTGGATCGTGTTACCGGATCCATTGCATATGTACATATATACATATATGTACATATATGTCTTTGCTACTTTCAGTTTCGATACCGTTTTTCGTATGAATGCTAGCTTGTTTGGTGCAACCTCCTTCAAAGGCGTATTTATTGTTTGCGATTATTATTGCATTGGTTGTCCTTGTTTTGGAGCTCCCAGTCCAATAATTTGTCCAGTATTTGGAGCTGTGTGTGCGGAATTGTGTATTTCAATTGCAACAGCTTCTCACAGAAGCCAACCCAGATAACTGAAAACCTACGACCTTCAAAGACAATCATCGCATGGATGTTGCTGTATACATCCTGACAGCTACAATGCTGGCTTATCCAGATTAGTGATTGCGGCTGAAGCCCACAAGCCCCCAAAGGATAAGGATATAATTAAGTTAATATACTTTTCAGGGAGATGGTGCTTTGCTAGCATTATTGTATATGCAGACATATGGAGATCCACCTGCGATATCATTTTCGCTGTCTTGTTGCTCATACCATCTAGTCATAGGTTGACTGCTGTGAAAGCACATTATTTGCACATGCACACACAAACATGCACCGACACGCACACACGATTGTCATCAGCTGTCAATACCGCTTGTTATATCTATGCTGCAGGCAATGCACCTGTATGCCGCAACCATTCTATGGTCTTGTTAAATCCCATGACGCAGTTCATCGTGTGTCTTATGGATATCTCCGTAAACTAAATAAATCCTGTTACCCAAGAAAAAGTATAAGAACTATACTATGCCTAAAACCAACTTTCTAAAATGTGACATGATCAAGAAGTCAAGCATCTCTTGTGGTGGAAGTAAACATGGCAGATTACATCGGCAGCTGCGTGCCAGTTTTGGCAAGAGTAATGGAGCCGTCACAATGGGGCACCCAACCGGCAGTTGAACAGGATATTCGCCGCATTCCTTCAATGTAAAAGGCATGTTATGTGTTGAATATGGCCATATCAACATAGAGCACCAGGAAATCTCTTCAACATATCATTATGATATTGAGCCATCCGTGTAGACCATCGAAGTAGGCGTTCTTATAAGATGCCCGCATCGTTCGCTTCCCCCTTTACGCCTTCCGGCCGCGCGGGCAAGCGGGATTGCACCACGTATTGGTTAAACCCCTCGGTAGACCTTTCTAAAAGCCCGGAGACTTATTCTCACACATAAACCCAATCTCGCATGAAGTTACAACAGTCACAGCTAGGTATGAATAGGTCGCAAGATGCAGGCAGCATCTCATGACACATATCTTCTCTATGAGATTTGACTTAGATGTCCTTGTGCACCCCGTGAGTTTGCCAAGCTCGTGTGGCATCTCCCTAGCACCTCATGCTACATGCTTACGAGTGTGTTACGCCATATCATGATGCGCATGGTTCACGTGAAGATTGATACTTCACCATGACGTGCTCATGAGATATATTGTTTTCATATCTAGCCAGTTTTGGTATAATGATATTCAGATTCCTGCGAGTAGCCGATCCTGATCACAGGAACATAAATCAATAAGGATTTCCAGTTGCAAACTCCCCGACAGAGCCCACCATGTTGCTCGAACATCGCACAAGTGGAATATTCAAACTCCCGTTTTCATGCACCTATAAGATAGTTGGATTCGGATCCCTTACATCGCAACCTGCCAATGAAAGGCGAAGACAGTGTTTGTTGTATATGTTATCGAGGAGACTGCTCATACATGTATCTGACATCCGACATATATACCGACCATATGTCCTCGCATATGCTACCACATCATATGCGACGTCAAACATTGTTGTTATCGCTTGACTACGACAGACCCTTCAACAGGTTGTCCACCTGGCATTGCTCAGGAGGTGGTTGTGTCGTGAGTTCGCATCCGTCGAATGTATGTTAATGCAAGGTCTCCTCGTCATATGATGTTGTGCCAGTCATAAATAGTTTGTCATCTTTGTGAGCTGTAATCTCCGATATCTAATTTTCTATACGCAGTAAGTCTCTGAGGTCTTTTATAGATTCTATAGATGTTTATCTGGTTAGTATGTAATCTTATTGATCTTAATATTCGGCATACAGTATCTACTCACTTGTAGTGAGGCTTGCATGGGCTAAGGACACCAGGTTTATTGAATCATGTGGCTCTTGGTTGGTGTCCGCTCCTGCAGTATGGCGCACTATGGCGTTGGCTGTCGCTTGCTGTCCCCGGGGAGGGGGAGTTTTTGATTTTCGATGTTTTTTTTATTTTTGCGCTGCCCCCCCCTCCATATTTTGTTTTTTTTTGCCCCCCCCCTCTCCCCCCCCCGCCATCCCCTTAGTAGCAGTGTTCTCGCCCTTAGGGCCTGAACCAGCCAAGAAGTGAGTCAAACTTCTTGCTCTATAGTCATGTCGACAGTTGAAACAAAAACTTTGGACATGTGATAACCATTGTTGTTTGTGCACATGTATGGGTATACGTACATGTATCCTATTTAAGAATATGCATATGAGGATAACCATATCGTGTGCACGAGTGATGTTGCTTCAAATCTGAAGCAAACCAAAAACATGAAAAACAGTAATGCTGTAAATATGGGGCCCGTAATGTCTTATTTTCTGTATATATACATATATGTATATGTATACATCTATATGTGTATATGCTATATATGTATATACGAAGAGCAGAACTGTACGTATAGTTGAGCCTTTTAGACACAGCATGGATTCACACTCAGCAGTCGAAGCGCTGTTTTGCATTTGACGGCTTGCAGATGAAGCTGACCAAGGCAAAGATTTTGTGTTCCTGCTCTGGGTTTTGGACTGAAAAAATCCGTGACAAGTTTGAATCAGTTTGAACTATCACAACTGATTGCGTGGCTCAGAAGAGTAAACATTCCAAATGGTGAGATGTCACTTACTGGAGCATTGTATCGAAACCCCGAGATCCAAGTACTGCACAAGGAAAATTGACAGTGCACGGTTGAAGCGATGGACGAGTATCAGACAAGGCTATCCTTGACGACCCTACTTGTTCAGAATCACAAGCAAAAAGACAAGAGTTGTATGCAATTAACACACTTACATTAGCAAAAGGCGAACGCTCAACAAAGAAGTTCCTTATTACATATGAAGAAGCGATCGCAATGTGCTTGTTCAGCCGCCACAGTTATTGTGAAGCATGCCATCCACGAAAGGAAAAACATGCAAACAGATGCTAGTTCGGCACTAGTTGGAAATGGGTTGGGAAAATACGTTTGAAGACAGTCCTTCGACTACACACCGTCTTTAACCAACCGAACAACACCAATGAGTATGCCTATAATGTTGTGGCTTGACCCCACCGGCTGAAGAGCAAGCTATGTGCCCAGCACCTCACTCAGCGGACTTCCGATCCGAAAGATACAGAGGAAAGAATCAGGCAAAACCAAAAGCCGACAAGTCGAGAGTTATGGGTCAAGCAAACCCCCCTACACCAGCCGCAACACAACCCATTCCGACAGGAGGTTTCACACCAAGACGAAGTCACCCAATGAAATGATGAGCGTCATGTACATTTCAGCAACTGACGCTTTCGAGCTGCACACACAGAGAATCGTCCCGAGGTGTTGATGCATGACCCCGACAAGCCCCAATGGCTTGGACAGGAACATGACTTGCTTGCCAAGGCCTAGCATGCAGGCATGCCCTTCTTCTTGCTCCTTTCCCGACATCAGCCCTGGATGTTGCCTGAAACGAGTTCAAACCGTAACCTGAACCTTGAGCTGGGATTAGCTTGCCTTACTCTCAGCATTTCAGGTCCTAGCCAACATCCTTCAAGTTTTAAGCATTCTAAGCCTCCAGTTAAGCCCACTGACAAAGACAGACTCTGAACCCGCCTCCCGAAACAACTCCAGACCCCGAAGCCCAGAAGCCCAGGCCCTGGCAAGAGTGAGAGAAGAGAAGGCTCCCAATTCAATGGGCCGGTTCCATAGCTGCCGCTGTGGGGTGAGGGGTTGCTGTTGCAAATAGTAGCCAGGGGAGTCGTGATGGTGGTAGTGCTAGCAGTGGTAGGCGTGGTAGCGACGGTAGCGCCAGCGGCAATGTTAGTAGTACAAGCAGAGGGCACCGACATCACCGTCATTTGCAGGAATTCGCCTCGTGTGAGGTCTCGGAGGTCAGATAAGGTTTCAGTGTTTCAGTCCATACTTTGGGGAATGAGGAGTTTCGAGGGTTGACGTGGAGTTAGTTAGCAGGCACAAAGGGTGCAGGTTTGGGCATGGTTGTCGGAAGAAGTAAAGCTATGGCAACGCTTGTATCAGTTTGGCCGTTGCAGTTGCAACACCAGTGAGGTTCTCCACCCGGGCCCAGTGTGCCAATGCAAAGCTTCAACTTCCCACCTTGTATCTTCAGCTCGCGCTCTGACTTCTCAATTCGTAAGCCCTTTGCCCTCGACCTCAGACCTCATGAAATCTTCAAGGTCAAATATGGTTTGCAGACTCCGTGCACCCTGGACCTAGGGGCGTCTTGCCAGCTGCCAGCTGGGATAGCTCGAAGAAAATGCTGAAGAGCAGCCTACCAGAAAGCATACAACCGTGGCATTTCAATGCAGCCGCTGACCTTCAACTCCCGAGTGGAAGGCAAACCTCGGATTTTCGGACACCTGTTGTGCAATTCCCGACATCCCATGTTTTCGGGAGGTTCAGGGCTCATGGTGTCGTGAGACTGTCGGGCTTCTCCCCTCTACCTCTACTTCCAGGTTCTATGATGTTTAGTGCTCGACAACCAGGTGATGAAGTCGTTGGGTTCGAAACCTTGCTCCCTGCATGAAAATGCATTTGCAACAGCAGACAGCAGACATTCACGGGCATCACGTTGCTCAGCGGTGGCTTTAAGGTTTCGGTACTGGGCCTCAGGGCGCAGGTCGATCTTCGAGGCTTCGATGCAGACTGAACGTATAGGTTGCCCTTCGGTTTCCGCTTGGCGGGTAGCATCATCGGATGGCCCGCCAACTGATGCAAATTCACAGGTTCGAAAGCCAGCTCGAACTCGTGCCTTGTTCAGGGTATGGCAACTTACATCTTTAAGCATGCCATCTACCTGAACCCGTCCTGGTCTGAGCTCTGTGTCTTAAACTGCACAATGTTAAACAAAGACTTGGGCCGGCTTGTCCGAGCCTTCAATCTCCATCATTTGCATTTGGATGTTTCTCATTTTTTCTCGCGAGATCTGAGCAAACACAGGGCCGACACACCAAGACCCATCCTTCATTCTGCTGAGCCATGTAGATGTCTCCCCGGCTCATGAGCCAGAAATCTCGCAGACTTCTTGTTGTTCCGACAGGTAGTTCAAGCTTTGTGCCTCCAACCGGGGGCTATTCTCTGTTGGGCTTCCTCTTTCGTACTGAAATCTGTTTCAAGCAAATTCACGGGTTCAGACTGGGTCCTTAAGTTTAGGACCGAGGGATAAAAAGTTCTGGCTCCGAGCCCCAAAAGCTGCAGGTCTTTCGGGCCAGCCCTCCCACGAGTAGCGGTTGTACTTCGAGCTCTGTGATTTCTTAGGCACCATGCCTTGAAGGAACGCAAGTCAAGTCAAGTCCTCGCTCATGCATGCATCTCTGCGATTCTGAGGCTTTATTGTAGCTACAACTATACTTCAATAATAAGCTCTGTACATGCTTCGCGTCAGCCTCGGGAGGGCGGTAGCGAATTGGGGCAAACGAGCGAAAACCAGTGCAGGACGCGAAAGGGCACAATCGTGCCTTTGGGGTGCAGGCAGCGGGTGGATGGGGGGTTCCCTGCCGAGTGGGGGATCAGATTATATCAGATTCTGTGTGGGAACCTCTGACCGCTTCCGGGGGCGAGGCGAATTAGCAGTGCACACTGATGCTGTAAGCGCGTTAAACATTCATAATTTGCATTATAATAGTGCTGTCATCACATTTTGCAAGGTTTTGGGCTTCGGTTCGCGCTTAGCCTCTTCGGAAGCTTCTCGGTCATCGACTCCGTGTCCTTTAGCCCATTCCTGGCGCACCCGAGCCTGTCTAAGAGCTCAGGTATGAGGTTGAATGCTAGTAAGTCTCAGGAATAGCGGTGCAGGACGTTTCTGCAGCATCATCGTAATGATGATTAGGGAAGGAGGAGGAGGCGGAGGGAGACGGCAACATGGCACCGACGACGAAGACGACACTGATAACACCACGAGTCTTAGACAGTACTTCTCAAAGAACCACAGTACAAATTTGTACAAACAAATAGAAGAAGGCGAATTGTCGTCCGTAGAATGCTCTTCGTCCTCATAGCGACGGCTTTCGCCACCGTCGTCATGGTTGTAGTTGTAGTGGCCGTGGTGTAATCCTAGTATCATTTACCTCAGTGCTCGGAATATCGCATAAACAACAGTATTTGTCATCGTCGTGGTTGTTGTCGTGGGCGTCGTGATGGTGGTGGTGCGAGGACCGGGAGCAGAAATAGGAGTAGGAAGTAGGAGTAGGAGTATGGTGATTGTGGTGGTGGCACAAGACATGGTGGCCAGTTTGACAATCGTGATGGCGAGTGGCAAGGCGCATGGGGAGGAGGACGACGACGACGGTAAGAAATAATTCAAAAATGACCGTGGGATTATGACGATCATGAGGTCATGACGACACGACGATGATGATGGTAAAAAACATCGGGATGATGATGCTGATGGTGATGTTGATGCTGGTTTTGTATCCGCCTTTGTTAGTTGTGCTTGTAATTGTGGTGGTGGTGGTGGTGGTGGTGGTGGTCGTCGTCGTCATTGTTGTTGGTTGTGGTGTTTGTAGTGGCGATGTTGATTGGGGTGAGAGTGCCGATGGTGATTCTGATGACTGTTGACTGTTGTGCCGCCATGCAAGCCCCACACGTAGACCAAACCTCGTTCCTTACGCCCTGTGTGCCCCAGCTCAAACCGTTACACCATAAAGTTGCTCCAGCGGATGGGCCACCAAGGCAAGGCTCCGGTGCAGCCAGAGCTCAGATAACGAAGCCTCAGCTCGTGGTGTCTGAAGACCTGCCGTGGGCTGTAAGACTGTATCGTATAGGAATCTCAAGGATTACTTTCAGTAGTCCTTTTCATTCTTGTTGTGGTTATGGTGCCGCATACTCCAAACCCGAGCCAAGCAACTGAGCACTTCTGGGCTGTTTTGCTTGCGCAGCCACAGTTTTGATAGCTGCTCAGTCCATGTATTTAAGAGGGCTTGCAGGTGAAGCTTGCAGGCTTCGGGTCTGAGTCTAATTCTTAGCTCTGTGGCTGTGCAGAACAGCAAAGGCTTTCTTCGACACCGACGGCAGAAGCACTCAATCTGGCATCCGCTACGTAGGATTTCGGATTTATGGTTGGGGTGTGTTGGGGTGCTCCCTCTTGATAATCACTAATCGGCATTGCAGCGAGTGGGAACATCCTAAGCTTAGCCTGTAAGATGCGCGTGCATGAGGATCCGACCCCGACATGCAAAATGTACAGGTTCAAGCCAGGCGCGATTGCCAGCTGTATATCGGAAAGAGTATTCTGTATTCCCTACATCCGCCCTATATTCCTGATGCTGTGCTCGTCAACCATGCGAGCCTGCAAACACACAGATTTTGCGATCTTTGACAGGACCCCACATGCGTACATACGTGTTCATATATATATGTATATACATATTTATATGTATTACATATATATACACACACACACCTGCATGCATGCAGACAGACGCATGCCTGCATGCATATGCACACACACGTGTGTATATATATATATATATATATACATGTGACCCACACATACGTGCATACATACATACATATGTACATAGGTACATGTGTACATGCGTACATGTGTGCATACGTACAGACGTACATACATAAGTCTGCCCATGCCTCCATACGTCACATGCATACATACAGACATACATACGTACAGATATACAGGCACAAAGACTCACTGGAATGCATGCGAAACACGCAATGCTTGCAGGCATGAGCGCTTGCATGTATTATTATGCCGATCCATTTCGATAGACATCTGTGTGTTTAGACGGAAACCAGAGATTGCGTAAGATTGCGTGTGTGGCAAATACATGCATATATATATATAATATTATATATATGCACATATATATATATATATATATTGTACATATATATATATATATATGTATATATAGTAGATTTTGTATATATGTATATGTAGTGTGTTTCCATTTTAGCCATCGGTCGAAGGAACTGTCTACCTGCTCTTGTGTATAGTTCAATTCGTTCTCGCATGTCTTGCTCCTATTTGTAGACTCCCGTCAATATCTACGTCGATACAGTGCTATGGAAATGCGAGTTTGCCTTGTCCTCTAGATGCTTTTGGCCTTTGCACGCCTATCTCATGGCTTTCTTGGAGGATCCAACAGTCTACATTCCTGGTAAACATTAGGTACCGGAGTGCTCATGCCTGCGTCTTCGCTCAAGTATGTGTAGGCTTGAACCGACATTTCATGAAATGTGGGGTTTAGGGTTTGCGCCTTTGGTTTAAAGACACCAGCATGTGGCGAAGCCTGGTTGGAGGTTTCCAAGCAAGGCTGTGCCAACGAACAGCAAACGAAGGTGTGTCTTCTGACTCGCATACAACTCTTCAGTCTCAGCATGAGCCCAAGGCCTAGTTCCGACGCGTTTGCGATTTCATATCACTTGTCAGCTCGTTTTGGGTAAAGGCTAGTCTGTGGGGCTGTTCCGCAATCTGATGCCTTAAGTTCAGCTGCTGCTGCTGAAACTGCCTAAGCCGCTTTGAGATGCTCTATTTCACCTCGTTTCAATCTGACAGTCTGGATGTTCCAGGTCTACACCAAAATAGACCCTCAGCAGAGGTGCAAACAAGGCTCAGGGAAGCTTGAACATCTGGTAGACTTCCCAAGATATCGTTTCAGTGATAAGTAAGCAAACAACATCAGGACAGCAT